TAATCCTAGCACTTGGGAGGTGGAGGCAGGCGCGGATCTCTGAGTTCGAGGCCAGCCTGGTGTAAAAAGCAAGTTTCAGGTCAGCCAGTTCTATACATAGAAACCCTGTCCTGAAGATAGGAAAACAAACAAAAAGAAAAATCCTGAAAAGGGTGAACAAGCTAATGTCTACAAATTGTTCTTTGACTTCAACCTGTACACACAAAATAAATAAAAATAAAATACTGTTGCTTTAAAAATTAGAATACAATACAAGGCAGCATTCCAAAACACTGGAGGAATGATGATTATTTAATAAATGAAGTAAAACCGTGACTAGCTGATATTTGGAATGAAATGTTACAGGCTCTGTAGTATAAAAACTGGGACTCCTAAGCCTCTTCTACCAGAAAATGATCCATCATGCCCTTGGGCTTCTTACAGATTCATATTCTAAATACAAGAGTCCCCAAATGTTTTGAGGTTGGGGCTTGTCTCTCATATATGGCTAACAGATATATTTTATTGGATGCTTTAAATTAGCAGGCAGTGGGCTGGAATGGGAAGGATGGAAGAAAGGGCCTGCAGGAGAGACATGGTCGGTCTGCACATCATGACACAGAAGCTACTGAGCACCCCACATGTGCACATGCATGAACCAGACCACAGGGCTGCTCCCTGGGCTTTTTCCTGTTAGTTCTTGGGGGCTCCCTCCTCCCCCTAACCTTCACATGGTTAGATGTGAAGCCAGCAATGGTGGTCTACGTCTGTAATCCTAATGTGTGGGGTGGAGACAGAAAGAGATGCAGATCAAAACCCTGCAACCTCCCCATCGAGGCTCATGCAGGGTGGGTGGCTCACAACTGTCTATGACTCTGTTCCAGGGAACCAGACACCTTCTTCTGACCTCTGCAGGCACCAGGCACATAGGTGGCACACATACATCCAGACATGCAAACACTTATACACATAAAATAAATGTGAAAAAAAAGCTAACATTAAGAAACAAATGAATAAAACAGACCTAACAAAGGTTAAAGTGTTCATAAAATCATCTTTGAGGTGAAGAAATGGAGGTCAACTTCTCTAGCTTCTTCCCCCTCTCCAACCCCTGATTTCTTCAGTTTCTATCTTTTCTTGCATTCTAGCTCCTGAACCTTCTAGCCTCAGGGAAGTCTTCCAAGTTTTCCTTTATTAAAAATCTTTCTCAGCACAGCTGCTTGCTGGTGCACAGGGAATGCGCTGGTGTGTACGGCTTTACCCCAGAACACTCCCATATTGAGGAGAAGTCGTGCTGGCTGCTGGCTGCACAGCAGCAGAAAGCTGTTGCTCATCAGGACAGACTTACAGGAGTCATTACTCCACAGTGGGACAGGAGCGACAGATGACAACACTTTTGCAATCTATATTCCGAGGGCATGTTTGTACCTCATATTAAAAAAAAAGAGAGAGAGAGTCTGCACAGACATGTTCTTGCTAGATTTACGTCTACATGGCGTTACTGGCTTGTTTGTTCAAGTTACCTCCCTAGGCCAGATGACCCTGGAGGAGTCTAGGACGATAAAGGGAGATGCTTACAACACTTCGTCCAGATGTTCAGAGAACAAGGGGAGAGGGTCAGAGATGATAAGGACAGCGGCACTGACATCATAGATCTCAGGGACAAGGCTGGCCACCTGACAAAAGGGGTAAGAATGCACTGGGGACTGATGGCCTTTGTCCCCTCTGATCTGCTAAAGTCTGCAGGATGTAGATAAGGGAAGGCAGTTTTTAGAGTATTGGTCCACGGCCATCTCAGATCACCTACTTTCTGCGTAAGCACAGCTTAGAGATTCCACTCTGTTCCTGCTCGTGGTATGCGTGGTGACTGGCGACAGGACTACTGTGTTCTGGTGACAGTATTAAGGATACAAAGTGGTGCAGCAACTGGGGAAGACAGGGAGGTTCCTTACAAGGTAGGGACATGACCGAAAATGGTGTCCTATGCCTTTTAACCCCAGTACAGGACAAGTGGACCTCAGTGAGTTCAAGACCAACCTAGTCTACATATTGAGTTCCAGGCTGGCCCAGGCTACACAGTGAGATCCTGTCTCAAAAGCAAATCACATCAAAAGCCACCAAAAGTTAGAAATGAAAAAGAAAGGCTGCAGAGATGGCTCGGATTAAGAACGCTGATTGCTCTTCCTGAGGTCCTGAGTTCAATTCCCAGCAACCACATGGTGGCTCACAACCATCTGTGATGGGATCTGATGCCCTCTTCTGGTGTGTCTGAAGAGAGCAATGGTGTACTCATCATATCCATAAAATAAATAAGTAAATATTTGAAAAAAATTCTTCAGTACCGATGCAAGTCTTTGAAAGCAGAAAGTCAAACGAGTATCTGCATGCCCGTGTCTCTAATAGTACTGTTAATAATCTACAAGAAGCAGGACAGCAGCCATCAAGTGAATGACAGATAAACCAATGTGTTCCAGCCCTGCTTCAAGAGGAGCAAGACAGTGGAACATGATCCACGAAGCAGCCTTGGAAACACAGGTGAAAGGTCAGATACAAAAGATCATGTACACATGGATCCACTCATGAGAAATGTCCAAAAAAGGTGGAACCATGGAGTTAAAACCACCAGCCACTGCTAAGAGCCAGTCAGGAGAAACTGGGAAACAGCTGCTCACTGGGTGTGAGGGGTCAAAAGTTCCTGAGGAGTCTCCGTGGCTGGACAACTATCAACTGTCTATTCCCACCCACCGCCCCCTGGCCTTACCTAGTTCTCCTCCGAGAGAACAAAAGATACATTTCAAAAGAGGTCTGGCTTGTCTCAGGGTAAAGCCTGAGCCATAAGAGACCCACAGTCTATTAGAACTGCCCATTGTAAGGAGACTCAGATGACTTAAGCAGGAATGGTGACAATAAATCAGCTTCAGCCCTGATCCTTTACTCTAAAGTTAGTTGTTGCTTGTTTTGCTTTGTTTTTGAGCTTTACTTCTTTTTATTTTATGTGTATGGGTATTTTGCCTCAGACATGGAGGTCAGAATAGGTCATCAGCTCCTCTAGAACTTTATAGAGTTGTTATGTGCCATGTGGGTTCTGAGAACTGAGCCCATTAAGTCCTCTGGAAGAGCAAACATGATTCTTAACACCTGAGCTATCTCTCCAATCCCAAAAGAGCCAACATTTCTTCCTTCCTTCCTTCCTTCCTTCCTTTCTTTTTTTTTTTTTTTTTTTTTTTTGGTTTTTGGAGACAGGGTTTCTCTGTGTAGCCCTGGCTGTCCTGGAACTCACTCTGTAGACCAGGCTGGCCTTGAACACAGAAACCCACCTGCCTCTGCTTCCCAAGTGCTGGGATTAAAGGCATGCGCCACCACTGCCCGGTCCCAACATTTCTTTTTTTTTTTAATTATGTATTTATTTTATGCATATGAGTATGCTGTAGCTGTCTTCAGACACACCAGAAAAGGGCATCGGATCCCAATACAGATGGGTGCTGGGATTTGAACTCAGGACCTCTGGAAGAGCAATCAGTGCTCTTAACCACTCTCCCATCTCTCCAGACCCAACTTTTCTTGAGTATTTAAGCTATCTTATAGTGAAGTTAGCCAGGATTTTAAAAACATTAATTAGACCAAATGCCACTGAATTATACATTTCTAAATGTTTAAAATGTGGACCTGACACATGGTTCTGCAGGTGAAAGTGCTTGCTGTCAAAGTTGAGTTTAACTAGACACCATATGATGAAAGCGAGAACCAACTTCCACAAACTGTTCTCTAACCTCTGCATGTGCACTGTGACATGCATACCAACACACACACACAAATACATACATACATACACACACACTAAACAAATACATAGTAAGTGAATAAGTAAATGAAATGCTGAAATCCTCCCATTCTTAGTGCTAGAGTGATGACTCAGCATCAACTGTTCTTCCAGAGGATACAGGTTCAAGTCCCAGCACTCACATGGCAGCTCTTAACTCATCCAGTCCCAGGGGAACTGGATGCCCTCTTCTAGCCTCTGAAGGGGGACCAAGCCCAAATGTGGTGCAGACATATGTGTAGACAAAACACTCATAGAAATAAAATAAAATAATTTTAAAAAAACTTTTTACATTTTTTTAATGATTAATGAGAACTATATTAATTTTATCTTAGATTTGGTGACTTCCAAAAGGAAACATAGGCGTTTAAAACGTTCACCTGGGGTAGGATTTGCTTTGAGACAAGGTCTTGTTTTATTGCCCACATTGGTCTTGAACTCCTGGATTCAGGTACTGCTCTCCCCTCATGCTTAGTCGCTAGAATTATGGGTGTGTGTGGTACTGAGTCCAACATGTAAGGTGTTTTGTGGCAATTCTTAACCTGTTTTGTATCTGGGGCTCTTTTAAAAGCTTGCTTTTGATAGTCCTTTTTTTTTCCCCACCCTCACTCCCACCCTGGAAGTTGAGGACCCAACCCAGGGCCTTGGGCTTGCTAGGCAAACACTTTACCACAGAGCTAAATCTCCAACCCCTGTTTTGAAAACTTGGTCAAAGTGACAGGTAGTTTCCCAAGAAAGTATATATATAAACACAGTTGTAGGAGGCTTATGGATACCTTCAGGTAATTCACAGCTATTCCAAAAACTCAAAGGTTATTATTGACATGTTAGGAATTAGGGAGAGAAAGAATTTAAGAGATGGCTTGGTGGTTAAGCACTGGCTGCTCTTTCAGGGTTTGATTCCCAGCACCCTCATGGCAGCTACCAACCATCTAAAACTTGAGTTTTGGGGGATTCTGGCTTCTGTGGGCAATGCAGACAGTTCACAGACATACATTTGGGCAAAACATCCATACACATGAAACAAAATAAAATCTTTAAATAGAAAGAATTTACAAAATAAAATCAAATCATTTATCCATGCAAATATTCTAGAAATGGGTTGCAGTGGCCAACTGCAAAGAAAACCTCAGTCTTGGTAGAGCCTGTAGATTGTTGTTTCAAGGGACCTGATTGAAGTAGGAACCAAAGTCAAACAAACCTTTGTTTCTAACTCAGAACAGCCCTGGGGAGCTGGCAGGGTGACTTCAACAGGTGTGAAGAGAAAATCATGAGCAAAACGCGAATTCTTCAAGACAGCTACCGTCTCCTCATTCACTTCAACAGCTACACCTTCCTAAGGGGCAGCAAAAGATGAGTATCAAAGACGCCATCTTGGTAACATTTGTTCTGTTGGGGGGGGGTTGTATAATCTTGAAATGTGAGTTCTTTCCTCCATGAGTTCTGGAAATCAAACTCAGGTTGCCAGGCCTTCACGGGCAAGCACCCTTACCTGCTGAGCCATCTTGCCAGACCACCTCTTCAGTCTTATTAGAAAGAAAATATCTTGAACTGGGCAGTGGTGGAACATGCCTTTAGTCCCGGCGCTAAGGAGGACACAGGGTACTGCCTCTCTGGTGGATGCTGAGGAGTCCTGCTGGGCTCTCCCTTGTCAGATGCTCATCCATCTGTTTATTCTGAGCTGCTTCTTAGGGTCCCATTGGTTAGAAAGCTTTTAGGTTCTTGGCCTTTCAGTTTGTTTTACTGGCTTTAGATCCCTGAAGGCATTTGCTTTATAGCCGTGGTTTGGTCCAATAATTTGTTGGACATCTTTTCTCCCTGACACTCCTTCCATACCTAATCTAAGATAAAGGGAACTGTTTAGAGGTACACATTACTTGGTAATCCAGCTAGTTAATTCCAGTATGTTAGCTAAATTGCAAGAGCCAGAAGAACTGGAGTTAAGGATAGCTGTAAGATACCATGGTTTATTTTTCACACTAACTTGAAGTCGTAGGTAATAGAATTTTTTATGTTTGCTTTCTGAGAGCTTTTCTGCGATATCTTCCAGCTTGTAATGATCCTCCTGCCTCAGCCTCCCAAGTACTGAGATTACAGTATGTCCCACACAAATAAGAGGCTGCTTAAACTGGCATTTTAAATCACCTTTCCTTTAAAAAAGAAATAATAAAATTGGTAATTTACAAAACTTATAAGATCTTATAATTACTGAAACATAATAAAAAAAAAACTTGTAAAACCTCTACAGCTACATCTAAGTTAAAAGAAAATGCTGAAAATAAATGATAAAGTAATTTAAATTTTTTTAGAGGTTATAGCAAAACTAAAGATGGAACTGAAGGATGGTTCAGTTGTTAGGAGAAAATGCTGCTCTTCCAGAAGACCCTGGCTCTGTTCCCAGCCTCACAAGGTGGCTCAGAACTGTGCAAACTCCAGGTCCAGAGGATCAAATGCCTTCTGGTCTCAGGCACCAGGAACATATTTGGGGCACACATATGAATGAAGGCCAAACACTCTCATAAACATAAAATATCTTCACATAGATAAATTCTAAGGAGTCAATTATCAACCCTCTATTCCCACCCACCGCCCCTTGGCCTTACCTAGTCCTCCTCCGAGAGAACAAAAGATACATTTCAAAAGGTCTGGCTTGTCTCAGGGTAAAGCCTGAGCCATAAGAGACCCACAGTCTATTAGAACTGCCCATTGTAAGGAGACTCAGACGACTTAAGCAGGAATGGTGACAATAAATCAGCTTCAGCCCTGGTCCTTTAAAATTAGTTGTTTCTTTGTTTCGCTTTGTTTTTGAGCTTTACTTCTTTTTATTTTATTTATGAGACATGGAGGACAGAACAGATCATCAGCTTCCCTGGAACTGCTTTATAGAGTTGTTACGTGCCATGTGGGTTGTGAGAACTGAGCCCAGAAGTCCTCTGGAAGAGCAAAAAGGATGTCAACCACCGAGCTCTCCAATCCCAAGAGCCGATGTTGCTTGAGTATTTAAGCTATACTATAGAAAAGTTAGCCAGGGTTATTAATTTTTAATTAATAATTTAAAATTATTAATTAAGTAACATTCATATTTTACTACAGAAAAGGAAATTATCCGTGTGACTCCTACTAGGTCCTAGTTCTCTTCCTGTCAACTGACATTATACAAAGTAAGATCTGGCTGTGACTACAGAGCCTGAAAATACTGGTTTCTAGCCGGTTTGACGGCTCATTTTTATCAATGCCATTAATATTTGCAACACCAAAAAGACAGTTTTTAAAAATTTAAAATACTATATTATTATCCAGTTTTTTTCTGTAATATAATTGTTCATTTACTTCTCAGGGAGCCTAGTAAAGTTTTCTGAAGGAATACATGGTGAATCGCTGGAACTGCAAGAAGACTAGACTCAGCAGGATTTTAAGTGACCCTGAGGGTCAGACAGCCATAGAGAATCTTGAAGCGTGGCTTTCCAGGATGTGGCCCAGAATAAGTAAACATTTCCAAGTATCAGAGTACACAAAGGCTGTGAATTTCAGGTAATGGACATTTGACAAAGGCCTCATGGAAGAAAAGAGAACCCAGACAGCTAACCGAAGCCCCAGGAATACAGAGCAGTATGTCTCTGATCTCTCCACTGGTGAGGGGCTCTGAAGGTATCCCTGCCTCTCTAAACTAGCTGAAGCATTTACAGGGTTCGCCACTGAGTATTCATCTAGATAGTTTGTTCTTACTAGGAATCCCAAACTTGAAGCACTGGTTAAACCTAAAATATTTTAAAGTAATTAAAAGGGTGTGCTCATTTCTATACCTTTGAATGACTGGTCAAGAGAAGAAGGTATAAAAAGTTTACTATTCTACTCTATGTAAAAACAAAACAAAAAAATACACAAACCAAACAACATTAGAATAGCAAGTCAAGGTCAAACAACATTAGAATAGCAAGTCAAGGTCAAACAACATTAGAATAGCAAGTCAAGGTCAAACAACATTAGAATAGCAAGTCAAGGTCAAATTCAAGATCCAGGGAAGGTTCTGGGGCTGAGGGGTGGGCACAAGAGCAAGAGTAGAGAGAAGGCTACCAGAGTCCTGGATACTGGCCCTGCTGGTGCCCAAGCTGCAGATGGAACCTGGGGTCTTGCACATCCTGGCATTCAGTGCTCTACCATTTAGCCATACTGCCAGCCTAAGGGGCAGCTTCCTTCCTTCCTTCTTTCCTTCCTTCGTTCCTTCCTTCCTTCCTTCTTTCCTTCCTTCGTTCCTTCGTTCCTTCCTTCCTTCCTTCCTTCCTTCTTTCCTTTCTTCCTTCCTTTCTTTCCTTCTTTTCTTTTCTTTTTTACCTTGAATTTAAAATTTGCATCAAAGATTAGTTCCTTTTCATGCCCCAGGATTCCTCCATTGTAAACAGCATCGTTCTGCTGGCTCTGTCTGAGGGAGTTTGAAGAGGTGGAATGTGGCAGACACAAAGCGACAGTCACCTGAAAGCAGACACACCCAGGACCTGCTCCCTTCCAGCCGCCAGCAGCATTTGACAGAGGAAGACAGAGCATACTGTAAAGGTGATTTTCCTCACTGCGAGCCATTAATGATCTTTCTGGGCACTTCAGTCTATTTCCTGATTTTCCTCAAGATGCTTTATTAAATGTCACCCTGGGGAAGAGGCTGCAATTGTTCAGGAGACAAGGTAGACACCTGGAGAGGAGCAGTTTCCCTCGGCGAGAATCAAGATGAAACTAACCGCCCAGTTGAAACCATCCACCTTGCAAGCTGCTTCTTACCAAGAACCTTTTCTAGTTCCTTGTTTTCAACCATAATGATATTGGCAGTGACCAAGCGTGGAGGGCAGAATCCAATTTTGGGGGCAATGACGGCAAGATCCTTCCAGTACAGAGTACCACCCAGGCATTCCCCTTAAAAGAGAAAGACAGAGAGAAATCACTATATAAAGCAGTACTAAGGGCACTTGTAGCTTGAACACTTAACTAGGACATAGTTTTAAGATGTAGGATCCAGCTGGCCACGGTGGAGCACCTACACAGCAACTCACAATTGTCCCTAACTCCAGTTCTAGGTGATTAGACACCCTCATATGGCCTCCACAGGCACCAGGCATACACATGTACACAGATCTACATGCAAGCAAAATATTAATTTACATAAAATAAATTGGACTTAGCAGATACATTTTTTTTGTATTTTTAAAAATGTTTTGTTTTAATCACTTTACTTATTCATTATCTTGCCTTTGTTTTTTTAAGAGACAGGCTCTCACTATGTACCCCTGGCTAGCCTGGAACTTTCTATGTCAGTGGTTCCCAACCTTCCTAATGCTTTGATCCTTTAATACAGTTCCTCATGTTTGTGGTGACCTCAATCATAACATTATTTTTGTTGTTATTTTGTAACTGTGATTTTGCTACTGTTATGAATCGTAATGTAAACATCTGTGTTTTCTGATGGTCTTAGGTGACCCCTGTGAAAGGGTCTTTCAACCCTCAATGGGACCACAACCCACAGGTTAAGAACCACTGTTTTATGGAAACCAGGCCTTGAGCTCAGAGATCTGCTTGACTCTGCCTCCCAAGTGCTAGAATTAAAGGTGTGCGCCACAAGACCTGGCTTGCTTGTTTATCTGTTTGTGTTTGTTGGTTTTCTGTGTGTGTGAAACTGCGCATGCTACAGTGTGGAGACTGGATGACAACTTTCAGGAGTTAGTTTTCTCATTCTGCCATGGGGATCAAACGCAGGTTGTCAGACTTGGCAAGTATCTTTACTCACTGAGCAATCTCATATTCTCTGAGATATATATATATATATATATATATATATATATACACACACACACACACACATGCACACACGCATACATATTCTTGTCTGAGGCACACATGGCATAACACACATATGGAGATCAGAGAGATCAATTCTGTAGAATTCATTCCCTCCATTCACTTTTCACGTGGGTTCTTGTAGAGGAATTTTAATCCAGTAGCATGGCTGTTATAGCAAGGGATCACATGCAAAGGTCTGTGTGATCCGGCTAGAATGCAAACATGCCACACACCTTTAATCTCTCTGGCTGGAATACAGACATGTCCTTAGTACACACCTTTAAGGTAAAATTAGTTTGTAGAAGGAAGCAGCCAAGTCTGAAAGTAGTACCTAATCAATGGGCAAAATGATGAATCAGAGAAAGATCTGGCAGAACGAGTCAGAGATAGGATACAGCAGACTCTCACAAGAACAGACAGGAAAGAGCAGGGCAGGGAAAGAGAGAGAGAAGAGGCAGTTTCACAGGAACAGTTTTACAGTGAGGAGGCAGAGTGGAGTTCAGTTCTGGTCAGTTCATGCAGCAGAGGCAGCTGAAGCCAGAGAATAAGAAGGAGCTGGAAGATTAGAACAAATTGCCAGAGTTAGTTTGAGGCCAAGTAAAGCAATTCAGTGAGAAGCCAGATTGAATCAGTCAGTTTGGAGAGGAGTTTTGAGCCAGAACAGTTGACCTGAACTGATCAGCCAGAGTTGACTAAGAACTAGAGCTTGTTCAGAAGTAAACTCCCAAGACGACAATTACATTTGGTGAATAAAAGTTACTGTTTCAGGTACTAGTGGTTGAACTCAGTTCAGCAGGCATGAAGGCAAGTGAATTACCTTTTGAGTCATCCCATAGGTCCTATTTTCCTGCTGTTTTGTTTTGTTGTTGTTTTGAGACAAGATTTCTCTGTATAGCCCAGACAATCCTGCAACTTGCTTTGTAGACCAGGTTGGCCTTGAACTCACAAGACATCCACCTGCCTCTGCCTCTTAAATGCTGGAATTAAGAGGCAGCATGCACCACCATACCTGGTCTATTTTCCTGCTTTTTAACATTAGCCATTTATATTATTGTATAATAAAGAGGTTAACACAATTTATTTTAAAAAATAAGATTTGTTTTTTTTTGAGACAATGTCTCATTGTGTAGCACACGCAAGCCTTGAATGGGCACTGATCCTGTTGCTTCCATCCCCAAAGAGCCGAGATTACAGGCATGTACCACAACTTGCAGCTTAAATGTAAGAAGTTTTATTTTACAGTCAGGCTAATCATGAGCATGTGCATTCATCTCCTCAGCTTCTAGTAACTCTTAATGACAATAAAGGGACACTCTATCTCATTTATTCTTCAAAATAGTTTCAAAAGTAGTCTGTGCTATTATTTTCATTGTACAGTTAAAAAACAATAACATAAATTAAATTGCCTAAGATCATATCACTCTTTGAAAAGTTTATATTGTGTGTGTGTGTGTGCATGGGTATGTGTGTATACATGTGGACAGATGTGCCACAATGCACATGTGGACATCAGAGAATAGGTCTATGGAATCTGTTCTCTCACCTTTACATGAGTTCCAGGGATCAAACTTGGGTTGCCAGCCTGGGACCATGTGATGTTTTGTATATGCTTGGCCCAGGGATTGACACTATTAGTAGGTGTGATCTTGTTAGAGTAGGTGTGTCACTGTGGGTGTGGGCCTTGAGACCTTCATCCTAGCTGCCTGGAAGTCAGTCTTCCACTAGCAGCCTTCAGATGAAGATGTAGAACTCTCAGCTCTGCCTGCACCATGCCTGCCTAGATGCTGTCATGCTCCCACCTTGAAGATAGTTGACTGAACCTCTGAACCTGTAAGCCAGCTCCATTAGGTTTCATCCTTTATAAGACTTGCCTTGATCATGGTGTCTGTTCACAGTGGTAAATCCCTGAATGACCACAAATGCCTTTACCCACTGAGCCATCTCAGCAGCCCTCATATTGCTTTTGAGTGGCGGAAAAAGAACAGAACCTTCTGGCCTTACACTGTTTGCTCTCCTGTCCAGTGGTCCATCCCACCTTACTTCCAGGATGGAGCTCTATACTGGTCAACAATAACTGATAGGAGTAAAACAAGAACACATACCCCATAAAACTTTGTGCGACTTGATGTCTTCTGGCACTTCAAGGCTAGCATAGACGTCACTGAAATAGAGCTCCCCACCGTGCTGAAAGAGAGCAGTGCACATCTGAGCAAGGTTAAAGATTATATTGGTTCTAGATAAAAAAACAACAACAACAAAAAAAAAACCAACAAAAAAATTTGATGAGCATAGGAGATGGGTTTCAAAATCCCAGAGTTTGAGCTGACACTGACCAAACTGACCTTTGAACAAATAACAGCTGCTTCCCTTGTTAAACGCAAAACACGGAGACAGAGGCATTTATTTCTCCAGTGTCCTATCCAACATAATGCTTCCTAAGAATCAGAAGGGAGTCAGAAGAAAGTAGAGAGGCCTGAGAGGATGAAGAGAGGGTGAATGGCCTCTGAATGCACAGTCTGTGCCTATGGGAATGCAGTAGTGAGGGTGGGCAGATAGATACTTGGGTCAAGTGCTGGCTCTATGAGTACCTGCTGAGTTCCAGTTTTCAGCATCCACAAAAGCCCAACATGGTTTGCGTTCATAACCCCAGATCTGAGGGGCAGATAGGTAAGTCCCCAGAGCTGATCAGACAGCAATCCTACCCAATTTGGTGAGTTCTAGGTTCAGTGAGGGACCATATCTCAAAAAATAAAGTTGAGGGCTACACAAGATGACATCTGACATCACCTTCTGGTCTCCGTGTACACTTGTGCGTGTGCGCGTGCACACACAAACACCACCACCACCACCACCACCATACACATGCCATGATGAAACTCATGAGCAAAAACTGGGCTGGAGAGATGGCTCAGAGATTACGATGCACTTGTCTCTCTTGTAGACTCTGTAAGAACGGAAAGCAAAGGCCCCCACCCTTCGTAATCCTATAGCCCTTTAAACAGTTCCTCATGTGATGACCCTCAACCATAAAAGTCTTTCATTGCTACTTCATAACTGTAATTTTGCTACTGTTATGAGTTGTAATATAAACCGGAAGTATGATGTGTGACTCCAAAGGGGCCGAGAACCACAGGTTGAGAACCTTTGATGTAGCCGACCCAAGTTCAGTCTTGAACATCCACATTGTGTGAGTCCAGTTCTGATCTCGGTGGGCACCAGACACACATGTGGTGCACATGTGTGCATATAGACAAAACATTTATATAAAACATTCAAATAAAATAAAGTCATTTTAAATAAGCAAGAACATAGGAGGGGAAAAATGAGTATCTCTCCTAAATACATTCAGGTTGCCTAAATTTATAGCTAGTCCAAGAGGAACACAGTCCTAGGTGTCCAGACAAGAAACAGCAGACACCCATAGAATTTACAGTCTCATCCCTTGAAAAATTATAGTAGTAAAGCTAGGCAGTAGTGGTGCCTCCATTAATCCCAGGAGGCAAAGGCAGGTGGATCTCTGTGAGTTTGAGGCTAGCCTGGTCTACAAAGTGAGTTTGAGGAGAGCTGGGCTACATAGAGAAACCCTGTTTCAGGAGTTGGGGGGAAGAAAGGAAGAAAAGAAAAATTACAGTGATGTACGGTGGTATTATTACACATTAAAGTTTTTCTGTGTCCTTAACATCTAGGTCAAAGGAGTCAACAGGAATTTAAGGTGTTATTTAGCTCATTTCCAAAGCATGGGAGTCTGTATTCTGTAGTGATGTTTAGCGTCTGTCAGTTGATCTCAGTGACATCAGAAGCTGATCTATAAAATGGCATTCTAGCAATGGCATGAAATCATTCTTACACAGATACTTTTACATTTATTATTTTACGTGTGCCCAAGTGTTTGCCTGCACATATGTTTATGCTCTGGTGCCCTTGGGAACCAGAAGAGGGCATTAGGGCTCAGAACTGGAATTACAGATGGTTGTAAGCTACCATGAAAGTGCTAGAAGTCGAACCTGGGTGCTAAGGGGGATCAGCCAGCGCTCTAAAGCCCTGAGCTCCATCCTCAGCCCACCATAGAGACTTCTACTTGAGCTCCATAAGGCTCCATAAGCTAAAAAAATCTCAGAAATTTTCTTTTACAGTGTTAGAGATCAAGCTTTATGCACAGGAATCACACGTCTACTCCTGAACTATACCTTCAGCCTTACAAGTCCCAGAATGCTCTTTTTTTTTTTTCATAAAGAGACAAACCTCATTATCCACAGGAGGCTGTGAAGTTCCTGGAAATTTCCTCTTTAAAAAAGCATCCATATAAAAATTCCATTGTAGATTTCCCAGAGATAAGATATCCTGGTGTCAGAAACAGCATCGTGAGATATAGGGTGTTAGTATTCTGTCTAAACTCCACCTCCACAGTTACCTGGCAACAGCCAGGTAGGCCTGCTCACTATAAAAGGGGCTGCTTGCCCCCCTCCTCTCTCTCTTACTCTCTTAATCTCTTACCCTCTTGCTCTCTTGCCTCTAGCTTCTCTCTGTCCCCCTTGCCCCTCCCCCATTCCTCCTCTCTCCACGTGGTCATGGCTGGCCTCTACTCCTCTACTTCTCTCCTCTCTCTCTCTCTCTCTCTCTCTCTCTCTCTCTCTCTTTCTCCCCCATCTTCCTCTACCTCTCTTCCTCCACCTTTGCCCTTTGCCCTGAATAAACTCAATGCTATACCGGTGTGTGACTGGTTCCTCAGGGAGAAGAGATGCCTAAGCATGGGCCCACTGAGAGATCCCCTTCCCCCATACCTCTCCACACACCCAGGGAACATCATTGGTGCAGAGGGAGGCTTTCTCTCTCTCTCTGCCTGGGACCTGTAAAGTGAGTGTTAGTGGTGCCTTCTGCCACAAGAACAGCTGACATAAACATTGCTGTGATTTTCACGCTTTGATAAACACGCTTGATTTTCCTTGCCCACTGCAAACTCTAGCTGCCAGAGACACTGAACAGTGACTTCTGGCCACTAGTAGGAAGTCCTACCCTGTCGCTGCCGCCCGCAGACCTGACCCAAAGCACCTATGCTCCAACCCACCAGCTGTACAATCGTATGACACTGTTGCCAGCTTTCTTATTCTGGTCCTAGTCAAATGTTTCTTTGCTAATACAAAAATGTGCTTTTCTCTGCCTACACAATCCGCCAAAGTTACTTAAGACAGGATAGGAAAGGCTCTGTCTTAATAGATTTCCACTACTACTATTAAATTCTATTCAGTTACAACCAGTCCTTATGACTCTCAATCTTGTCAGAAGTCTGCTAATAGTATATTTTTAAGTTTATGGCTAACAGAGTTCCCAAAGCCTCTAACAGTTGACCCAAGATGGCTTCAGAAGACTTGGACACCAGACTCCTAGAACAAACAGCCTGGATTGTATGCGAACAAACACAGTGGGCTAAACTGGATACTCTGAGTCAAATGACTTAGCTAACCCAAACCAAGGTAAGTCATTTCTCACGTCACGCATATCCATTCCACAGAGAAAAAGCCCTGTGTCTTCTGCACTTGGAAGCCAAACTGACTTCACCCAAGAGACTATGGAGACCATGGGAACTGTTGGCTTGTGGACTCTGTCATTTTTTAAAATAATATATAACTTGTAGATTGTTTACTCTTTCTCAGACTTCTGACTACATTGACAACTAAGCTTTCACAGATATTATCTGTTACCTCGTTACCTAAACACAGTTGCCATCAATTAAATGCTTCATGTTTCCTCTTCTCACTGGCCCACTGTCCTAAATTATCTGAGTTCCTATAAACTTGCCTAACTCTAAAAATAACGTTCCACTATACGATCCAACAAAGGTTCATCTTAAAGACTGCTCATGTTAACTCATGCTGTTATCTCTTTTGTAAACTTATAAGCTACAGGAAACCCACTCAGATCTACCTCTCATGGACCAAATAGACACCATCCAGATAAGTACATCTGCCTAAAGTTCCCACTTACTACCTATTCCAAAGGGTAGGATCCTTCTGGGTTTCAAATGTATATCTTAGAAAAAATTTTCTTTCTCCCAAATGAACTTAATCTTATTCCCTACATCTTGTCAAGTCCAGGCATATCCAGAACAGCTCCAGAGAAGCAACCTCCAGATGCTCCATCTCCTGTCACACACACAGCTGCTTCTACTGACCTATCCTCAGATGGCTCACTCCATAGACCCTGGACAGCAGGAAACAGCCAACTCTCCTAAGACTGGACAAACATCCTCCATACCCATTCTTCTAGGTTCCCCCTAAAGACACACCACCCCCAATGCCAGCAGGAAGTAGCCAGATATCACAAGGACCCTATTCCTGCTTCGCCGTCACCTCTTTCTAATTTTTCTTTTTTAATTAAACCAAAATGGGGGAATGTTAGTATTCTGTCTAAACTCCACCTCCACAGTTACTTGGCAATAGCCAGGTATGCTCCCCCCACAGTTACCTGGCAACAGCCAGGTAGGCCTGCCCACCATAAAAGGGGCTGCTTGCCCCCTCCTCTCTCTCTTGCCTTCTTGGAAGCCAAACTGACTTCACCCAAGAGACTATGGAAACCACAGGAACTGTTGGCTTGTGGACTCTGTCATTTTTAAAAATAATATATAACTGGTAGATTATTGTTTACTCTTTCTCAGACTTCTGACTACATTGACAACTAAGCTTTCACAGATTATCTGTTACCTCATTACCTAAACTCAGCTGCCATCAATTAAATGCTTCATATTTCCTCTTCCATCACCTCTTTCTAATTTTTCTTTTTTAATTAAACCAAAACAGGGGAATGTTAGCATTCTGTCTAAACTCCACCTCCACAGTTACCTGGCAACAGCCAGGTAGGCCTGCCCACTATAAAAGGGGCTGCCTGCCCCCTCCTCTCTCTCTTGCTCCGTTGATCCCACTGCCTGCAGGTTCTCTGTCCCCTCTCTCCTCCCCCTTTCCCTTCCCCCTCTCTCCACATGGTCATGGCCGGCCTCTACTCCTCTACTTCTCTGCTCTCTCTCCTTGTGCTCTCTTCCCTCTGCCCCGAATAAACTTCCCCCCATGGAACCGTCTGGTCTGCTGTGGTCTGTTCCAAGCTACACATGAAAAACTAACAAGCACATGGTCTGCCTGGTTTGAGGAGCTCACTGGCTTTACTTTGGCAGGCCAGTATGTTAACACTGCAATGTGGCATTGTCTTCTACTAAACTCACACCAAGAAATGCACAATTGTGTGACCCCCCCAAAAGAATCTCACAATATTTTAAGCTTATACATTTGTGTTGGGGTGCATCCATAGCTATCCCTGGCCATGCAGTTGTGCCAGAGGCTGGAGAAGCCCAGGCAATGTTGTTAGTAGACTAAAGAGACCTTATCCTGTTCTTTCCTTTATGAAGACAAGCTACATTTAGTTTTATTCCCTAAAGGTAAGCCAATTCATCAAAAAGCAGTAGCATGTAGGTGCTCAAAATGAAACAGGGTTTACTCATAACAGAAATGATTGTAACGCCCTACATAATGATATCATAGCTCTCATTCTGGATCCCAGCCTCCACCAATTTCTCAATGCAGCCGTGAAGAAAAGTCACATTGGGTGCCTGGAAACTGAACTTTTCCATGTGATAGTCAAGATAGGTTTTAGCCACTTCAGCCTAGAGAAAGAAAAATACTGATGTGGTAATCATCGTTTTAGTCTGAAAGCTGTGCTATCACTAATGCCACAGGCTTTCTGTGCCCTGGGTTATTTTGGATAGACATACATGCTTCCCGAGATGCATATGTAGCAGTCTGGGACAGAAGCTCCCAACCATGTGACCTGGCCTGAGTGTTAGCCAATGATAAATCTTTCTGGACAGAGGATGGAGGAAGAAGAGAAAGTGCCACTGGGTTGTGACAAGCTCTCTACCAGGTTAGACCTCTGACCAGGTTCTCTAGGACAGTCACCGACTGTCAATGTCCTCAACTTCTAGGTCATTGGAAGCAGAAACGAAAGCAACAGAAACTCAGCTTCTCAAATTATCATGAAGAAAAGTGGGAAGGAGTTTAAAGCCTCAGAGAATGACCCGCAGAAAACCTCTCCTTTTCCTCCAAATCTTTACCTTACCTGGACCTTAGTCATGTCTATCCCAGTGACACGTCCCTTCTCACCAACCAGATGGCTAAGCACATAGCAATCCCTGCCGCTCCCACAACCCAGATCCAAAATCTGACAGTTTTCCAGCCGCTCAGGAACAACCAGACCACAGCCATAATATACCTGAGAAATGGAAACGAACATCTTTTAAAAACAGAGACTAGAAAATTCTCAGATACTAAATCTACACTTCGCTCTTGTCTCTCTCACTAAACAGGGCCGTGCACCGTTGTAGGTACCGTGCAAGGTAGCAAGACTTAAACCATCTGAACTATTGGTTGAATAAATATATCTAAGGCACTGGCTGCTAAACAACTCAAAGTCAGGAACTGAGGAATGTGGGGAAAAAATAGGCCACAGCTGTGGAGTCCCAGTGGGTTTCCACGCTGTGGAGGGTCCCACATGCGGGAGGAGGTCTAAGGTTCCAGCAGCCTGGAGGCTTTGGCGGTGGCAGGCCCCAATGACACGAAGTCCTTGGTTCCAAAAGGGTTTATTGTCATAGCAGATGGTGGATGAATCTGGAAGTACGCCCCCTAAAACTCAGGGCAGTCCCGAGTTAAATAGGGAGGGAGAAAGGGGGAAGATGGGGGGGGAGGATCTGGGGAGGCATGCTTAATTTGCTCTGCCCTCTTGCTTTCATTAGTATGTAAATCCCTAGGCCCTGAGGCCTCTAGTCACACCCTCTACCTGGGCACTTTGGGAAGGGCTGTAATGGCTGGCCTACATGACGGAGTTTTATGGAGACTAGACTGCTTTTCAGGACCCTGGGTTCCAACGGTGCGCCAGACTCCTACCGGTTCTCACGCAGATTCTTGGGGTTCTAGGCAGCTGCCCAGCCATGACCCAGAATACCCTTACACAGTCCCACAGAGGAAAAGTATTCTTTCCCCAGGTGCACATGCTATAACTGAAGAGGTAAAAACTATAGTTTGGAAAACCCTTTCCATGACTGACATTGAGTGCCACCAAGAGTAAGGACTGTAGTGGGGGTGGGGGTGGGGGTGTGGATGATGGATGGGGACCAGTGATGGAAGGGGATGTCTCAGCAGGCCCATGCCGAGGCATCTCTTCCCCCTGAGGGACCAGCCACACACCCATATAGCAGAGAATAGAGTTTATTCAGGAAATGGGGAGGGGAACCAGGAGGGTAGTAGAGGCAGAGGCAGAGAGAGAAAGAGAGAGAGAGAGAGAGAGAGAGAGAGAGAGAGAGAGAGAGAGAGAGAGAGAGGGAGAGAAGTAGAGGAGTAGAGGCCAGCCATGACCATGTGGAGAGAGGGGGAAGGGGAGAGGGAGAGGGGAGGGGACAGAGTGAAGCTGGAGGCAAGAGAGTAAGGGAGTAAGAGAGTAGGAGAGAGAGGAGGGGGCAAGTGGCCCCTTTTTTACAGTGGGCAGGCCTACCTGGCTGTTGCCAGGTAACTGTGGAGAAGAGCATACCTGGCTGCTTCCAGGTAACTGTGGAGGTGGAATACAGAATACTAACAGGAGAGAAGGCTTCATGACCCCAGTAGGACTTGAGTGAGGTGTAGGAGAGGCAAAGAGTAAGGTACCCTCTTTGAAAACTGCTCTCTGAGTGGGCAATGCTGTGTCAGAGAATGGTAAGATCAGAAGGAGCCGTAGCTGGTTAGAATATGTGGGCCCATCTATTAACAAACTTGAATATCTATCAGGGCAGGGTCTGAGGAACTTGACCGTCTCCTACAATGGGAAAGGATGCAGCACATCGTTGAGGGGTCCTTGGCGGAGGAGCGAGAAGTTCGAGGCCAAGCTTTGTGGGTATCCCAGTAGTTAGGGCAAGCAGGATGTCAAGCAGAAATGGTTAAATTCCCCAGTGACCACTATGGGAAAACAGGTAGTCTGGAGGCTTTGAGGGCACAACACACACACACACACACACACACACACACACACACACACTACCTCGAAGTAACGTCTTCATGTACATTCTGCAGACTTTCCCGGATGTACTCGGGGACCAGCTTGGCTGACGTGACGCAAGCATTAGTCTGGAGGTCTGCAGATGTCTTCAGTACATTCCCATAGTAGTTCTGACTCAGCAGCAGTCACAGAAGAGAAGCCAGGAGGAAGAGGACTGACGTTACTGTTTGCAGAGCTCGAGGGCTCCACTACACTCCTAACCACAGCTTAATTACAGCCCACTGGCCTTTGCTCACGGCAAAAGCCTAACCCCGTGCCTTGGCCTGCCAGGACCTGGTTTGACCTGACCTCCGCGCCAGCAGAAGCCTCTTGATAGCAGGACTTCTACAGGGCCAGCAGGCCCACATAACCATTCCCTAGGACCCTCACCTGAACGTCCTTGTGGATTTCAGTGTCTCGGGAAGCAGCCACTGACAAAAGGGAGAACTGGGGTTAAATGGGGTGACCACAGGGCTGAAGACAAGATGGAGGGAGAGCAGCACACAGGTCAGACCCACAGCCTGCTGGGCTACTCAGAGTTGGGAGTAGGGTGGGAGGCGCTTTGAGCCTGCGGCAAGGCAGAGGACAGAAGACTGGCCAGAAGACAAGAGAGACAGGCACTCACTGACTCAGGATCTCCTGAATTCCGGAATTCCGAGAAGATCGCCGAAGCCACGAACCCTGGCTGACCTACAACCCCACAGCCCGGCAAGACCCTCTGGAAGCCGCCTACACACCGCTGGGGCTTGTCACCTTGGTAGCTTTGGGTCCTTGCATCCAGGAGAGTGGTTTGATTAACATCTTCCTTTACTGATCTACTGAGTTTCGTTTGTAAATTTTGCGTGTGCCTTAAGTGAACACCCATATCTATTTTTCTCCTTATGGAATGAAATGATTTTTCCTCAATCTGTCTCATAAAGTTGTTCATTGAGATATCATTTAAAGGCAGTGACCTTCACCTTTCCATAGCTCAATGGCTCTGTGAATTCAGGCAAACACGCACATTGTAGCCATCAGGTGAATTCCAGAACTCCAAGAGACAGACAGGTGTCAGACGCTGATCTACAATCGAGTTCAAGGTCATCCAGGATAGGGAAACCCTATCTTGAAACAAACAAACACCCCACCACCAACAAAACCAAACCAAACAACACAAAACAAAAGCCAAAGAAACAACAAAAAAATGTATTCTGCTCCCACATGTCTGTGTGTCTTTTTAAATTGCTTTGTGGGTGCATATGCGCATGACCCCCATGCCCATGTGTGGGGACTGGTGACTCCCACAAGTTAATCCTCTCCTCCCAATGGGTTCTGGGAATCCAGCATCAATCAGGCTTGTTCCTGTGGCAAATGCTTTCAGCTTTTACAGCTACACGGTCTCCGTCACCTTGAACATCTTTGCATGTCTTACTTGCTTTGTGGTTGACGCAAACGTTGCCATTCAACAAGATCTGGCTGCCCTGTCTTGGTTTGTGTGAAAGGATGTCTAAATAGAAAAGTGGACTTTTATGAAATTATCCCGTCTCCAATCCCATTGATCACTACAAAAAATTTTTTTTCAAATTCCCTGTAAATTGTTACTGAAAGTTAATCAGGTGACAGAGAGATGGCTCAGTGGGCAAAGGTGATCATCACCAAGGTTGAAGACTTGATTTCCATCCCTGAAATCCACACGAAAGCCGACGCCTGCAGGCTGTCCTCTGAACTCCACATGCAGACCACAGTATGAACAAATACATGCATAAATAAATGTAACGTTTGCTTTTAAATGTTTCAAAGCAAGCCAGGGGCTTGAGTGAATATAGTTCAGCGGCTGAGAGTACTGGCTGCTCTTCCAGAGGAGTGGGCATCTGTCACCTCCACTCAGGCACCCATGCAGGCAAAACACCAACACAGATAAAGTAAGAATAAATCATTTTTAAAAACACTGCAGTCCTTGTTGGAATGTTTTTTTTTTTTTTTTGGTTTTTTCGAGACAGGGTTTCTCTGTGTAGCCCTGGCTGTCCTGGAACTCACTCTGTAGACCAGGCTGGCCTCGAACTCAGAAATCCGCCTGCCTCTGCCTCCCGAGTGCTGGGATTAAAGGCGTGCGCCACCACCGCCCGGCTGGAATGTTTTTAAATTGGGACATTTTTTTTTAAATGACCATTTTTATCAGCATCACATACTTTGTAGACTCACAGAACAAACTCTCCAGAACAATACTTTTCAGAGCATTCTCCCCATAGAACGAGCCCTTCCATCCAAGCAGTTCCTTTCTCCGTGTTGTCTCAGGCAGAAGGCAGGGTGAGGATGCACTCGCTCCATCTTCACAGGTGCTATCTTTGGCTGCGGTTTCTTCAGAAGAATCACTTGAAAACCACAACCACATGAACGGCAGTGAGCAAACCGCTATCAACTCTAGCTACTGCCGCTCTGCCTTCGTGGCATTTGCTATGTTGAGCTGATTTTTAATTGGATGGTGACTAGCAATCATTTTGACTAGTCAGTACCATGGTTTGTTTTATTTGGCTTTGGGGTGCTTCCTAGTGTTCAAGATTAAGCCTTGGGGTTCTCACTCTCTTGTTCTTCCTCTCTTCCCTCTCTGTCCCTTCTCTCCTCCATTCCCCTCCCTCTCTGCCTCTCCACCCACTCATGGCCAGTCTCGTCTCTTCTCTCTCTCTCTCTCTCTCTCTCTCTCTCTCTCTCTCTCTCTCTCTCTCTCTCTCTCCCACACCCTCACCCCCCTTCCCCATGCACTAAACTCTATTCTATACTTAAAAAAAAAAAAGATTATCCTTGGGTCATATGTATGCTAGGGAAACAGCACTAAGCCACACACATAGCACCTGTGTTCTGTGTCGTCTCTGCTGAAGGGCAAGCTTTCAGTTCAAGCTCTTCTACCAAACTGTATCTTAAACATTAGCAAAAAAATTTTTTTCGTCGTTGTTTTTGGTTTTTGAGACAAGGTTTCTCTGTGAAGCCCTGGCTGTCCTAGAACTCACTCTTTAGACCAGGCTAGCCTTAAACGCACAGAGATCTGCCTTCCTCTGCCTCCAAAGTGCTGGGATTAAAGGCATACACCACCACCACCCAGCACAAAGTTGATTTTTTTAAGGAGATGGGAAAGCTGAGGAAGGATCTTCATGCTAAGCTGGTCTCAAACTCACGACGTAGCCAAGGCTGACTTTACACTCCAGGTCTTTCTGCCTCCACCTCCCAGGTGCTGGGATTGCAGGTACACATGCACACTGCCACTTCCATTTCCTTTTTAAGATAAAAAAAGATCACATACAGAAAATGTCCTCTTTTCTTTTCTTATCTCCAAGGACCGTCTTGAGAACACTGTCACACTCTCATAAAGAAAAGTACTGGGCTAGGAAGTGTGGGAAGAGACCAGAAAGGCTGATTTTGGTTAAGCACACAACCATGTTTCGAGAGCTTTTGTCTGCTAAGAGAGGTAAGCAGGTAAAGGCCCTTCCAACCAAGGCTGACAAGCTGAGTTTGACCACCAGGACTACATGATGGAAGGAGAAAACTGATTTCCAGAAGTCATTCCTCCAATCTCCACACGTGTGGACCCCCTACCCCCACCACATACACAACAAAAAAATATAAGGGGAAAAAACTGAGATGTTTCACTACATGGGACTGGCTACTCTGATTTTTTTGGGGGGGTGGTGGTTAATCAAAAAACAAAAATAGTAGAGCTTTCAAAAGTTGTCAGGATCCCTAAGACTCTTGAGGGGCTTAAGAGACAGATGTCTCAGCAGTTAAGGGCACTTGCTGACTCTCCAGAGGAGAGGATCCTCATTCAATTCCCAGAACCACGTCATGGCTCACAATGGCCTATAGCTCCAGGAGATCTAACACTTCTAGTCTCCTCAGGCACTGCACACATCAACACTCAGGAATGATGAGTTAGCATACAGGCAATCCAGATGGTCTGCCCCTAGGGACCTAGCAATTGCTATGTCGTCACCTGCCAAGGCCAGGTGTCCCAGGTGTGTGTGGCCAAATAGAAGGACCCCACAGCCCAGTTCTGTCTGTCTGTCTGTCTGTTCTGGGCATTCTTGCTCCCCCTTTCTCTCTCTCTGCCCTCATGCTTATTCACATGCCTCTATCCGTTCCCCGGGTCCTCACTTCTCTCCCCTTCCCTGATAAATCTCCTTTACACCCAAACAAAAACAAACGTAAACATCAATATCCATTAATGATTGGTCTAAATTTTGTTATCTCATCTGGCTTTTTATTTTAAAGGAAAATTACATTTTCTTTAGCAGATGAATTTTTAATCATTTTTATATTTGTTTAATTACGTTTATCAGCATGTGTCTGTGACAGGCTTATGTATGAGAGTGTAGGTGGCCAGGGAGGTCTGAGGAGGCCATTAGAGCCCTGGGAGCGATGGTTACAGACAGCAGTGAGCTGTCTGAAGCAGGTGCTGGGAACTGAACCTGGGTCCTCTCCCAAAGCAGCAAGTGTTTTTAACTGGTGAGCCATTTCACCAGCTTTTAATGGTCATGTTTTATATGCTGGGACTATATGGCAAGGGTCTGTTCTTTGACAGTCTATGGAAGTCTCCAGAAAGGGACCACAAGCAAAGGCCATTTTAACTGCTGCTTCTTTGGCCCTTTCTTTATTTCTCACAATTAGTCTGGATATATTCTTTCAAATACTAATTTTGTAATGCCATATCTTTATAAGGAGACAGACATTTTTACATTGATCACATTTTAGGCATTGAGCTGAGAGAGAACTCTTTTCAAATCTAATTCATTTTATACATGTCACCGTCAATGATAATGATTTGTACTCAAATGCTTGATATGACACTTTAACAAGCTAACATGTAATAACTACTTACTGGTTTTATATCTTTTTAGCCTTTTTGTTTTGTTTGAGATTGGGTCTATGTAGTTCATGTTGTGATGTGACTTAATTATCAGCAAGTCCACTTGTGTGACTTTACTGCCAAATTTGAAGGGAAAGGAATGGCTATAAATTATTTCAAAATGAGCCAAGGCCACTTAATCAAGAATCACAGAAAGAAAGGAGCCAGAAACAAAGGTCAAGGCAGAGCTGCAGCTGGCCAGAGAAGATACCACTGGCCTGATTTTCATATAAGAATTTGTAGTGAGTAAGGAAACAACAGCCATCATCCAGTTCTGTGTCCTTCAAATGAAGACTCTTGAATGAATGATAAACATCTTTTAAAATAGAAAGCATTCTCACATGATCACAATAGAAGCCCCTCTCTCTGTCCCTTCTTCTTCTTGGAGATAGGTTCTTTCTGTGTTGCTCTGGATGGTCTCAACTTTCTGGGCTCGAGTGATCCTCCTGCCTCAACCTCCCAAGTATTGGAGACCATGTGTTACTCAGTGGCCAGGTGCAGTGATTCATAATCCCAGTACTTGAGAGGCTACAGCAGGGGGATTATAAGTTCAAAGCCAGCAGGCTACACAGGGACATATGAGAGAGAGAGAGAGAGAGAGAGAGAGAGAGAGAGAGAGAGAGAGAGAGGGAGGG